GCAGAGAGCCCTTTGGGGGTTCACGGGCACCTCGAGGACCCACTGCTCAGCTCCAGGGCAGCAAGCTAGCATGGGGCCCTAGGAGAAGGGGCGCCTAGTGCAGAACCCCAAAGGGGGGCAGGCCTCTCCGGCCCAGGGATGGCTCCGCACCGGGCCAGGCCGGGGTGGGCATCTGGGTGCTGGGGGCCCAGGCAGCACCCCAGCCCGGAGAGGGAGGAGGCGGGGCTATCCCTCGGCCAGGCCCACAGCCCAGCGCCTGGGAGAGCCCCTGCCCGGGCCCACCCCGAGCGCCTGGGTGCCGCCGCCAGCCACGTGCAGGGTGGTGCAGGGGCTGGGCTGCCCAAGAGGGAGCCGGAGGGACCTGGCCACCACGGCGGGGTGAGGCCGGCAAGCTGCCCAGCCCCCGGGCACCCACGGCGGCCTCCCAGAGTCAAGAGCTTGGAGCGCCAGGAGGGGGCTGGGGCAGGGGCGTCCGGGGCCAGGGCTGTCCGGCAGTCCTCCACCACCCCTCCTGGGGGCAGAGGAAGAGCAGCGGGGCCGGGGCCCCCCGGGCGCAGCTCTGGGGTCCCGGCTCTGCCCCTCGGTGGCCTCACACGGGCGCAGGGCGGCCTGTTTTCTGGCCCCGCCCACACCCCCGTGCACACACCTTGCGCACGCTGGGGGCTGGCCCGGTGCTGTCCACGGGGGCCACGCCTGTCCCGTGCCGCCGCCGTGTGTGCCGCTGGGCGCCTGCACAGCTGCACACGTGCGAGACGCACAATCACGTGCGAGACGCACAATCGCGTGCCCACGCGGCAGCCTCCTGCTCAGGGTCTGCCCCGCCTCAGCCCTGTCTCCCCCAGGGGGCCCAGCCCCACCCCCTTCCCCGCCATCTTCCTGGGGTTCCCTCTTGGGACAGGAGTTGGGTCTGCCCCTCGGAGCCTCCCCCATGTCTCTGGGGGCACAGGGGCCCGGTCAGGTGTCCCCGGGCCACGGCGCGACTCCCTGCCACGGGCCGTCCAGAACGGCCACGCGGGGCCTGCGAGAGCGAGGGAGGAAGAGGCCGGAGCCTGCCACGGCCGCACCGTGGCCGGGACGCCTGCTGTGGCGGGGTGCAGGCGGCCGCACCCCAGTGCCGTGCAGGCGGGAGGTGCTGGATGTGCGGGAAGCGCCCGTCCCTGGCTCGCGGCCGCCCGAGCACCGCTGCCTCGGTTTCCCGTGTGGGGCCTTGCTGGGTGCCCCGAGGTCTGCTGGCCCAGCGCACAGCTGTGCCCCCCCGAGCCGGCTCGTGCGGCCGGCCTCGCCCTGGGCTGTGTGCTCTCAGCTGAGGTGCGGACACCCCCCGTTTTCTCTGAAATTTCATTTCTAAAGATGAGGCAGAGGGAGAGGCTGGCTCCTCCCCCTCCTGGAAACCGCAGCCGCGGGCGGGGGCGGCCTGGCGCACT